CTCAGAAAGCTCTCCACAGTCCCCCTGTAGAACATGGTGAGGATGGGAGGGGGGAGATGAGCCTTCTTTAGTCTCCACAGGAAGTAGAGGCGCTGCTGGGCTCTCTTGGCTATGGAGTTGGTGTTGAGGGACCAGGTGAGGTTCTCTGTGATGTGGACACCGAGGAATGATTTCCACAGCGGAGCCAATGATGTTCAGTGGGGCGTGGTCACCTCGCACTCTTCAGAAGTCAACAACCATCTCCTTAGTTTTGTCTACATTCATAGACAATGTTATTGTTTCTGCACCAGTCTGTTAGCCGCTGCACCTCCTCTCTGTACACTGACTCATCATTCTTGCTGATCAGACCCACCACAGTCGTGTCATCAGCGAACTTGGTGATGTGGTTTGAACTGTACTTTGCAGTACAGTCGTGACTCAGTAGAGTGAACAGCAGTGGACTGAGCACACAGCGCTGAGGGGCACCGATGCTCAGTATGGTGGTGCTGGAGATGTTATTACCTATCCTGACTAACTGAGGTCTCTCAGTCAGGAAATCCAGGACCCAGTTACAGAGGGAGGCGTTCAGGCCCAGCAGGCTCAGTTTTCCAATCAGCTGCTGAGGGATGATGGTGTTGAATGCTGAACTGAAGTCTATGAACAGCATTCTGACATAAGTGTCTTTATTGTCCAGGTGGGTGAGAGCCAGGTGGAGTGTGGTGGAGATGGCGTCATCTATTGAGTGGTTGGGGCGATATGCAAATTGCAGTGGGTCCAGTGAAGGAGGAAGCTGGTCTTTAATGTGCCTCATGACAAGCCTTGCAAAGCACTTCATGATGATTGGAGTGAGTATAATGGGACGGGAGTCATTGAGGCAGGACACTGGAGACTTCGGCACAGGGATGATGGTGGTGGACTTGAAGCACGTTGGAACGACTGCAGTGCTCAGAGAGATGTTGAATATGTCTGTGAGAACATTTTTACTTACAATATCTATATTTTGTTTATGTTTACCACTCTCATCCTTAATTGTACATATTGTAACTACAGCATCACTTACCATGGTTACTTTCCTGCACTTTATATGTAAATTGAACCCTATTTCCAAAAATTCGAGACGCTGTGTAAAATGTAAATAAAAACAGAATGCATTGATGTGCAAATCATTTAAACCCTATATTTAACTGAAAATAGTACAAAGACAACATATCAGATGTTGAAACAGAGAATTTTTTTTTTGTTTTTTAAAAAAATAAATGCCCATTCTGAATTTGATGCCAACAACATGTTCCAAAAAAGTTGGGACGGGGGCCTGTTTACCACTGTGTTTCATCACCTCTTCTTTTAACAACACTCTGTAAGTGTTAGGGAACTGAGGAGACACTGCTGTAGGTTAGAAAGTGAAATGTTTTCCTGTTCTTTGATACAGTATTTCAGCTGCTCAACAGCTCAGGGGCTCATTTGTCGTATTTTTCATTTCATAATGCACCATGTGTTATCAGTGGTGACAGGTCTGGACTGCAGGCAGGTCAGTTTAGTTCCCAGGCTCTTTTACTACAGAGCCATCCTGTTGTAATATTTGCAGAATGTGGTTTGACATTGTCATACTGAAATAATCAAGGCCTTCCCTAAAAAGACGTCGTCTGGATGGCAGCATATGTTGCCAAAACATGTATATATTATTCAGCATCAATGATGCCTTCACAGATGTGCACGTCACCCATGCCATGTGCACTAATGCCCCCTATACCATCATGAATACTGGCTTTTGAACTGTGCACTGTTAACAAGCTGAATGGTCTTTAGCCCGGAGGACACAGTGTCCATGATTTCCAAAAAGAATTTCAAATTCATTGGACCACAGGACACTTTTCCACTTCCTCTCAGTCCATTTTAAATGAGCTCAGGCCCAGAGAAGGTGACAGCTTTATATTTGGTTTCTTCTTTGTGTTTTAGAGTTTTAACTTGCATTTGTGGATCCAGTGATGAACTGTGTTCACAGACAGTGGTTTTCAGAAGTGTTTTTGAGCTCATGCACTGATTTTCACTACAGAATCATATCTGTTTTTAATGCTGAGGGTCCAAAGATCACAGCCAGCGAATACTGGTTTTTGGCCTTGTCCCTTACATACAGAGATTTCTCCAGATTCTCTGAATCTTTTAATGATATTTTGTACCGTAGATGATGAAAAGCAGAAGTTCTTTGTTGTTTTATGTCAAGAAACTTTATTCTTGAATTGTTGCACTATTTAATGGTGCAGTCTTTCACAGAGTGGTGAACCCCTCCTCATCTTTACTTCTGAAAGACTCCGCCTCTCTGAGATGCTCTTTATACCCAATCATGTTACTGACCTGTTGCCCATTAACCACCAGGTTTTACCAGCCTTTTGTTGCCCCCTCCCAACTTTTTTGAACGTGTTGTTGGCATCAAATTCAAAATGGGCAAATATTTTTCAAAAACCAATAAAGTTTCAACATTTGTTATTTGTTGTTCCACTTTGTACCATTTTCAATGAAATATAGGGTTTAAATGATTTACACATCATTGCATTTTGTTTTTATTTACATTTTTCACAGCGTCCCAACTTTTTTGGAAATAGGGTTGTGTGTGTGTATGTATATATAAACACATATATTTATATATTTGTATTTTTATGTATGAATTACGTAGTCTCATATTGAAATGTGAAATTCAGATAAATTGGCATGTATATCATATATCTATCCATAAGAGGAAGACCCTAAAAACAAATAATTTACTAGTTAAGGTCAGTATTATATCTTATTCAAGGATTCTATTTAACAGCATCCAAAGTTCTGAGTGTAATAATTATTTTTTGTTAGTTTATAAAATTTAAGATCTGTTTCGTGTGTAAATTCACTTGATCTGTACTAGCCAATCCCAGCGCAGAATGCAGGACGCGATAAGCCAATCGTGCCGCAGGGGGTGGGGCTATCCGGAATACGGGTGGAAAAACACCAAGAGGGCACAGGAATTTGAGAGAGTAGCGCTTTGTCTGATAACTGTTTTAAGTTAATGAAAACACTTATTTTGGTTACTGAAGTGAAAGATAATAGCAAATTATTGCTCGTGATAACAGCATCTAAAGTATCTGCTGTCTGAATACGGGTGGAATAGAGACCCTCACTAACAGTGCTGTTTAATGTAAACAAAACCTTTTAGTCTTTGTATTTATTATTTTTTTATATAATCCAAAAGTAATTAAAAAGAATGAGAAGCCATTTAACTGCTTAGAGTAACATTCAAATCATCCACACTCTTTTTAACGGATGGTTCTAAGGGTTCTTTAATAAAGACAGCGGTTCTGTTTATAACCATGTATTATATACAGAACGTATTTGCATGCCTAAAGGTTCTTTGCATGGTGAAAGGGTTCTTCAGACTGATGGAGAATGTGTTGTATATGGTTCTATATAGCAGCAAAAGGGTTCTTCTGTTGTTACAAGCTTGACATTCTAATAAACACAGAACCCTTTTGATGCTATATAGAACCATTTTCAAAAAAAGGTTCTGTATAGAACCATATACAACACATTCTGCCATTTTACCTGGCAAAGAACGATTTAAGCATGCAAATGGCTCTATATAGAACTCATGGTTCTAAATAGAACCATTTCCTTTATTAAAGAACTTGCAGAACCATCTTTTTTAAGAGTGTTTATCACCAAAAAGGGTTCTGCTACTGTTACGATGTCAAGCTTGTAACAATTGAAGAACATACTTTGGTGCTATATAGAATAGAACCATTTTTAAAAAGGTTCTATGTAGAACATGTTCTTTATGACTCTGAAGAACCATTTAAGCCTGAAATGGTTCAATATAGACCGTATGGTTCTAAACAGACTTATTCCCTTTACTAAAGAAAACTTGAAGCACCTTCTTTTTTAACAATGTGTTTCGCTCGCTGCTAGCCAATCGTGGCGCAGCGGGGGCGGGGCTTTCCGTAAAATGGGTGGAAAAAACAAGACCACTGAGAAGTGTGATTGTTACTTATGAAAAATGAATAAGGATCAGAGTTATTGTAATTTTTTTTGTTACACAGATATTTCATTAAGGAGGCACATTAGAAAAAAAGTAAATAACTATATAAAATTGCGTTGGTGCAGAAGGGGCGGGGACTGCCAGAATACGGGTGGGAACGGACGGAGAAGAGCGCTGAGAGCGTTTCTGTGTCTAAATGTGTTTGTTACTCATGAAAAATGAATGAGGATCAGAGTTATTATGATATCTTTACCCAGAGATTTTATCAGGGTGGCGCAATAAAAAAAATAAACGAAATAAATATACATATATTAAATAGCCTTAATATATTAAAATGACGCCAAAAGTGACGCATTGTTTTTTCTCTGTACTAAACTAAATCTGTCCATCAACTCATCAACATTATTACGATCTTTAGTTACTCAAAAATGTGTAAACTAGGTTTAGTAACTCGAGTCCGGAGATCTGCATCGCTATCTAGAGCTCTGTTCCAGCCTACTGGACGCTGTCAGCCAATCGCGGCGCAGAAGGGGCGGGGGATGCCTGAATACGGGTGGGAACGGACGGAGAAGAGCGCTGAGAGCGTTTCTGTGTCTAAATGTGTTTGTTACTCATGAAAAATGAATGAGGATCAGAGATATTATAGTTTCTTTACCCAGAGATTTTATCAGGGTGGCACATAATATATATATATATATATATATATATATATATATATATATATTATATATATATATATATATATAATAGCGCTAATGTGTTAAAATGACATCAAAAGTGACGCATTGTTTTTTTTGTCCATCAACTCATCAACAATTCAATTATTACGATCTTCACTTCCTCAAAAAATGTTTTGGAACTCGAGTCGAGAGGTGTATATCACTATCTAGAGCTCTGTGCCAGCCTCCTGGACGCTGTCAGCCAATCGCGGCGCAGAGAGGGCGGGGCCTTCCTGAATACGGGTGGGAACGGACGGAGAAGAGCGCTGAGAGCGTGTGTGTCAGTCTGAGAGCGAAGAGGCAGCACTGTGGAGCTCCTCTCTTACTCTGCTGTCTTCTGCTTCGCTCAGACAGACAGAGATGGAGTACTGGAGGCAGTGCACCGTGTGGCTGATAGACTGCAGGGTTCTGCCCCCCACCCACCGGGTCCGGGCGGACTGGGCTCAGGTGTTTGACCTGGCTCAGACCCTGAGGGACGGGGTCCTGCTCTGCCAGCTGCTCAACAACCTCAGAGCCAACACCATCAACCTCAAGGAGATCAACCTGAGGCCACAGATGTCACAGGTGAGCTTAAATGGCTTTACTTTCGTTGCTTTTCTGTGAAGAAGCACTTCGAGCTGCATTCAGTATTACATATAAATAAATAGTACTATTATTATAACTTTTATTAAAGGGGCACTCTGGAAATTTCAAACCTGGTCTCTTTCTGCTTCATCTGTCGTGTAGATTCAGTTACCACAGCTAGTCACTTCCCTGGACTTTGCTGAAGAACAGAAAAGCCACTGACTTCAGAAACTGCCCATTGACTCCCATTGTAATTGCGAGTTTTAGGTCAACGTCGTCTAAGTCTGGGGAAGCGTGTTGAAATTATCATCTGTGGTAATCGACTCTATAGAGGCACCAGATAGAGGTTGGGTTGAAAAGTGTCTGGAGTGTCCCTCATGTATAGTACACGCTTAAAAAATGGTTCTTCAAGGGTTCTTTAGTAAAGAAAACGGTTCTATACAGAACTTATCTGTCTTTGCATGAGTAATTAGTTCTCTGCATGGTGAAATGGTTCTTCCTATTGATGGAGAATGTGCTGTATATGGTTCTATATAGACCTTTTTTGAAAAGGGTTCTAAATAGCACCCATCTATTGCACCATTTAAGGTGGAACAGGAAGATTCGAATAAGAAGACTGACTTATGTGGTTTCTGACATACAGACTTTTATCTATGTGGACTAAGATAAGCGAAATAGCGTCTAGCTGGCAGATGTTTGGGTCGAGCTCAGGCTTCGTTCGGAGGTTTGGATCATTTTAGGGCTCGGAGAAGAACTGAATGCTCTCATGCTCTAAAAGAGCCACACGATGCCAACCACTGGGCCTTCTGTGAGGGTCTCTATGTGCTTATTGGCACTTTATTGGCACTAGAGCCTGGCACTGCCTGGCACCAGCAGCACTGAGATTACAAACTGCACTGAAACAGACAGAAAATTCACAACAGCTACCAAATAACTACAACAGCTTTTTACATTAAACATGATCGGAAACCGTATATTTAAGATGAATCTGCTTCTAAATTGAATAATTTTGAAAAACAAAGCTTTTAAAGCTCCAAACATTTAAAAAAATGTAGAAATCTTTAACTACATACTTAAAAATGATGGTTCTGCAAGGGTTTTTCTAGTAAAGAAAAAATAAGGGTTCTTCCTTTGTAGTAAGCTTGACAACATAACAGTAGAAGAACCTATTTGGTGCCATATAGAACCCTTTTCAAAAAGAGTTCTATTTGGAACCATGAGTTCCATATAGAGCCATTTGCATACTTAAATGGCAATGTGCATTGTAAAATTCTTCTTCAGAATGTGTTGTATATGGTTCTATACAGAACCTTTTTGAAAAGGGTTCTATATAGCACCAAAAATGTTCTGCTATTGTTACAATGTCAAGCTTGTGACAACAGAAGAACCCTTTTTGTTGCTATATAGAACCATCTACAGCACAGTGTTTTAATGATGCAGTGAACACTTTAACCATGAACAGGGTTCTTAGAGTATTCATGGTTCTACATGGAACCATTTTCTGTACAAAAAAAACAGATGGAACCATTGGAGAACAATCATTTTAAGTGTGTATTAAAATTAATAATTATAAAAGCAGAATTCCTGGAGCAAAATCTAACTGTAGTTGTTGTCATTTGAATGAATTGACACAAACGTTTAATTAGTTGATCGTCTTCAGGAGTATTTATGGGGACATTTATGCAAATTTAATAAAATAAAATGGTTATAGATTATGATATGATGTCCATACACTCGTAAAAACACGGTTCTTCAAGGGTGAAAGAACCCGTCGCATGATTAAAGTGATCTTTACCTGGTGAAATCGTTCTTCAGATTGATGGAGAATGTGCTGTAGATGCTTCCATATGGAACCTTTTTAAGAATGGTTCTGGATAGCACCAAAAAGGTTCTTCTGAGGTGCCAGAATGTAACTGCGGCACCATTTAAGGTGGAATGGAAAATTCAAATAAGAAGCTGGTGAATAGAAAGCTGACTTTACACTTTCAAGGCAAGTGCATGCAGTTAGCATTATGCTAATTGGTGGACATAAGTTTTCATTACTTGTTAGCTACATTAGCCTCATATATATGAAAAGTGCATTGTACAGCAATATATAAATACATTATTTATACCGAAATATGTTCTCAAATATAGATTGAAATCTATGTTTTCCAAAAAAGTCAACAGAGTTCAATAGATTTAGAAACAGAACTGCACATTTATTAATTAAACATATTTTATAACTGTAATAGCAAAATACAACAAATATGAGTGCAGTTCTTTACAACGTAATACATTTAATACATTTAATTTAATACTGTCTGTTGTGACCTTGATTCATTATTCAAATACGTTTTCACAAAATATATTTGTGTTAACACAAATTTTAATTAATATTTATTCCAAATATTTGTGCCTAGATTAGTGGGATGTACATTTACACATATATCTGAGTGACATATTTAATGGGCCAATTTGTACGTTTGCATATATTCTAAAAATACATTTAAAATATGTTGTTTCCATATATGGGTTTTGGAGTAAAGATGAGGGATTCGATTTATTATCTGAACTATAATTAGATTTTTATCTAAACTATCACTTCACTAGATGTATACTGTGGATGACCAGAGTTAGCAAATACAATTTTATAAAATAAAATAAATTAGATTTTTAGATTTTGAGGCAAGCTTTACCAGATTTACACGATGGAGGACTTTACTCAGCAAATACAATTTTATAAAGTAAAATAAATTCGATTTTTAGATTTTTAGACAAGCTTAGATAGATTTACAGTGTGGAGGACCAGAGTTAGTAAAGAAAGATTTTTAAGGTAAAATAAATGAGATTTTTGGCTGAACTATCGCTTTAATAGGTTTACACTGTTGAGGACTAAAGTTAGGAAATAAAATTTTATAAAGTAAAATCAAATTTGGAACAAACTATAACTGTAATAGATTTACATTGTGGATGACCAGAGTTAGCACAAATGTATGTAAAGTTTTATGAAGTAAAATAAATAAAATTTTTATATGTGTATTCATTCTTCAGCAAATAAAGTTTTATAAAGTCAAATAAATAAATAAAACAAACCAGATTTTGATCTGAACTCTCACTTTAATAGATTTACAGCGTGGAGTACCAGAGTTAAAATAAAATTTTATAATGTAAAATAAATTGGATTTTTAGATTTTTAGACCAGTTTTGATAGGTTTACAGTGTGGAGGACCAGAGTTAGTAAATAAAACTTTATAAAGTAAAATAAATGAGATTTTCAGCTGAACTGTCGCTTTAATAGGTTTACAGTGTGGCGGACCAGAGTTAAAATAAAATTTTATAATGTAAAATAAATTAGATTTTTAGACCAGTTTTGATAGGTTTACAGTGTGGAGGACCAGAGTTAGTAAATAAAACTTTATAAAGTAAAATAAGTGAGATTTTCAGCTGAACTGTCGCTTTAATAGGTTTACAGTGTGGATGATCTCAGTTGGCACTGATGTGTATAAAGTTTTATAAAGTAAGATTAATAGGATCTTCCGTTAAACTGTCCTTGTAACGAGTGGTGGTCCCAGACCCAAACTATCCTTCCCAGAATCCCCTGGGGCCTGATAAGATGCGAGCTTTGATCCGCCCGCTCGTTAGTGGACAGGGAGCGGGCTCCTCCCAGCCGGCCGGTCCGAGCAGAAGTGGCCGATGTTGTGTTTGTGCTGGGGGAGATAAGCTGAGGCTCCTCTCTGAGAGGACGAGCTCTGATCTCTGATAAACGCTCTGTTTGTACATTCATTCAAACACTAACGACTGCAGCTCTAATTAGTTTCTGCTGAATCGCTCGTATTACACACACACAACCCGGCCATAATGAAGAAATACACTGTTTACTGACGGCAACGACAACACGTTTCATTCTCACACAGCTGCTCGTCTTCTTTCACAGTATTACTCACCTCTTTACTCAAAGCTCTTACTTAGCAGTAAATATGACTCTACATATACAGAGCTGTGCTAAAGTCAAAGACCCTCATTTATTTACTTAATTTACACTTCAAAAGGCCTTTAATTAAAAATGATTCATTTTTCAGTGTCAGGAAAAAAATCAGAAAACAGGTCTTTTCTCAGTAAAGTGGAACTCCACCAGCAAATCAAATTTCCTAATTCAGAGTGGTTTGGTATGAAATGGTTCAGATGTCTTTACAGTGGTGGTGATAGGAACCAGGGGTCGCCATGACTACAACACAAATATAGACATTTTATTTACTATCCAGAACCACCAGTGAACCTACACGAGTCTTCTGAGTTTATATGGAATGTTGATGATGGAAAATAGTGGAAAATCTGAAATAATAAGTTTTCTTTGGGGACTATTTTGCCTCACAGCGCCCTGCATGTATCCCTCCACCATGAATGGAGTTTAAGTTCTCTAAACTATCATAAAACAGTGTCTCAGACATCAGGCAGTGAATTCAGAACCATTTACTGTAGTAACTTTCTGTGAGGGAGCTTTTAGAGGTGGACGTCTGGTTCCTATCACCACCACTGTGAACAGTTCTGACTCGGTAAGTTTATCTAGAACAGAGCGTTTCACACCAAACCACTCTGAACCGCTCTGTTTACATCTCAACCACTTAATTATATAGAATGTTTTTGAAAAATAAGTGGAATTTTTGTATCATTTTTTTTATTGGAAATCAGTGTAGGTTATGCACATATACATTAGTATTTATCAATAGATATTTATTATGACTGTATGTCTGTAATCCCAATCAGTTGCAATACTGTAATTTCTTTGTAGATACTTATCTGTATATACAATCCTCTTTTTCCAGTTCATGCCTTTATAATAATAATAATAATAATAATAATAATAAAGTGGCTGGGAGTCCAAGAGAGCACAAGCGACCTCACTCTCTCTGGGTGGGTAGGAAGGTCCTCCAACTCCCCTCAGTCACTCAGTGCAATGCTAGCCACAGCAGCGTCTGTCCGAGCGCGTTCAGCTGTACAGTGACGCTGCATTAGTGGCAGTTTGAAAAGATGGTGGAGCTTCACAGAACTCAGAGGAAGCCTGTGCAGGCTTTCACCCTCCTAGAGCTCATGGTATCATGTGATTGGGATGTGAGTCCTAACTAGAGGTTGGAACTGGATATAAGTTTAAGTTTTAGTTTCAAGTTTATTTGTCATTTGCACAACATGTGAGGACATTCATGCATTGAAGTGCTTGTGGTGAGGCTCAGTTTATTACTGTACAGCAGGGCAGCATCATATACATACTGAAAACAGTGCAGACCAAACAAAGTAAAAATACAAAATAAAATACTAAACTGAAATATTAAATATTCACCAAATATACACAATATACAGAGACAGGAGGGACCTATGTAAAAGAGCTCTCTGCTATGTACAAATATATTAAACAAGGGATAATCTGAGAAAAATATATATACATTTTAAAGGGACTTATTGTTATTGTCCGTAGCAGATATGATATGATATGATATGATATGATAACCATACTGACAAAGTGACCGAGTGAGATAGTAACTGGGGAAGGACACACAGCATCACAGCTTGTTCAGAAGCCTGACAGCCTGTGGGTAGAAACTGTTCACAGCTTGTTCTTCAGCCAGGTAGTTCTAGCCTGGACGCTGCAAAATTTCCTGCCTGAACAGTAAACGCATTTACACTGTTATAATCTGAACAGTAAACACATTTACACTGTTATAATCTGAACAGTAAACACATTTACACTGTTATAATCTGAACAGTAAACGCATTTACACTGTTATAATCTGAACAGTAAACACATGTTTACACTGTTATAATCTGAACAGTAAACGCATTTACACTGTTATAATCTGAACAGTAAACACATGTTTACACAGTTATAATCTGAACAGCAAACACATGTTTACACAGTTATAATCTGAACAGTAAACACAGGCTGTGTGATGCTGTCTGACCGGATCTTTATGATCTTTATGATGTAATTAAATTGGGGAGAAAATTGGAAAAATCCTCAAAAAATGAATAAATAAATAAAATAAGTAATAATAATTAACTGCTTTAAAAGGTGTTTCAAATAAAATGAAACCCATAAATAAATATAGAAACCTTGCAAGTTTAGTCTTAGAAGCTGGTTTAATATTTTCTGCTTCTCACCGTCCAAGTAATGTAGCTTTTAATCAGTTTTGGAAGCTCCTGTTTTTCACTTTGACTCCCTCCTTCCTTGTGCAGGTGGATTATCTAATATCTAATCTCCTCAGAAACGTCTGAAAAATGAATAATTCGTACTTAATGGGTGTTTTTGAGTGTAAAGTAAATAAATGAGGGGTTGTACTGCACAGCTGTGCAGACGATACTGCATTGATACTGAATCTGAGAGGGTCCAGCAGCTCACAGTGGACACAGTTATAGAGTGATTATGAATGAAGGCCTGTAGATCAGACCTATAGGGTGTTAATGGATTTTATGGAGCTGAATAGCTGCTCTGTGTAATTACTGAAATAATCTGTTCAGTTCAGCTGAGGTTTATTGACGTGGTCTGATGAATACGAGCCCTGAAATCACCGTCAACACACCACTCGTTTAGTAACCTAGACAGTTTATATTTAGATCATACAAACTTCACCCATATCTAACAACTAAATATAGTATGAAGAGGAAAATGATACAGATCTTGTTCTGACTGGTGTAAAGTAACGTAATTTGTGGTTATACTTCAGAAGAACACCTAACAGCACACATTTGAATATTTTTGAATATTTTTGAATACATGTAGCTTTCATACTTTTATTCGCAATCAAATCTGGAATTTTATTGGTTTATTTAACTCAGCAAAATTGTGAGACATTCATGAAAACTGTTTTATATCAAATAGATTAGGTCATAATTTTATATGTTTTGTTAACAGAAATGTGTTAAAATAACCAGTAAGTGTCTATAAAAAGTGTATTGGCTATAAAGGATGTGCAAGTTTTTACACTCGAATTAATGAATACATGGAATCTGACCAGGAGTGACCAAACTTTTGCATGAACACATGTTTACACAATTATAACCTGAAAGTAAAGATGTTTACACTCTTATAATCTGAACAGTAAACATGTTTACACAATTATAATCTGAACAATGAACACATGTTTACACTGTTATAATCTGAAGAATAAACACGTTTGCACAGTTATAATCTGAACAGTAAACATGTTTACACTGTTATAATCTGAACAGTAAACACATTTACGCTGTTATAATCTGAATAGTAAACATATGTTTACACTGTTGTAATCTGAACAGTAAACACATTTACGCTGTTATAATCTGAATAGTAAACATATGTTTACACTGTTATAATCTGAACAGTAAACATGTTTACACTGTTGTAATCTGAACAGTAAACACATTTACGCTGTTATAATCTGAATAGTAAACACATTTACACTGTTTTAATCTGAACAGTAAACACATTTACGCTGTTATAATCTGAATAGTAAACACATTTACACTGTTATAATCTGAACAGTAAACACATTTACACTGTTATAATCTGAACAGTAAACACATTTACACTGTTATAATCTGAACAGTAAACACATTTACACTGTTATAATCTGAACAGTAAACACATTTATGCTGTTATAATCTGAATAGTAAACACATTTACGCTGTTCTAATCTGAATAGTAAACACATTTACACTGTTATAATCTGAACAGTAAACACATTTATGCAGTTATAATCTGAACAATAGCAGTGCATGGGAGAACTTCATGTTTGAGTTGTAATTGATTTTTTATGAGGGGTTCAGTGAAACGTTTATCAGTATAATATCTGAGGAGAAATAACTTGAGTGTTCTTTCAGATTCTTAGAGACAGAATGTTTTACTCTGAGGAAGTGAACACACAGCCTCTTTCTCCATCTCTGAGGTTCTGGTGTTTAAACACTTCCCCAAAAAACAACAAGACACACATTTATACATGTGACTGTGTTTGGTTGATCTGGCACACAGAGAGAACTGACGCTTTGACGTGCAGTAAAAGTGTGAAAGTGAGGCATGTTTGTGTAACAGCTTAGATTCTTAGCCTTCCTTCAAATTATAGATAGCAGATAACAAGATGACCAAAACAAGGGTACCTGGATATGGACACGTGACAAACATACATACATACATATATATATACCTTCAGGAGCTTTTATGAATCCCATTCTAAATCCATAGGCATTAATATGGAGCTGGTCCCCCTTTGCAGCTCTAACAGCTTCCACTCTTCTGGGAAGCTTCTACAGGATTTTGGAGAGTCTGTGGGAATTTGTGTCCATTCATCCAGAAGAGCATTAGTGAGGTCAGACACTGATGTTGGGCGAGAGGGTCTGGCTCACAATCTCTGTTCTAGTTCATCCCAAAGGTGCTGGATGGGGTTGAGGTCAGGGCTCTGTGAGGGCCAGTCAAGCTCTTCCACACCAAACTCACCCAGTCAGGCCTTTATGTAGCTGCTTTGTGCACTGGGGCTCAGTCATGCTGGAACAGAAAAGGTTCTTCCCCAAACTGTTCCCACAAAGTTGGAAGTGTACAATTGTCCAAAATGTCTTGGTGCTGAAGCATTAAGGTTCCCCTTCACTGGAACTAAGGGTTCTAGACCAACCCCTGAAAAACAGCCCCATATCATCATCCCTCCTCCACCAAACTTTACAGCTGGTTCACTGCAGTCAGGCAGGTAACGTTCTCCTGGCATTCGCCACACCCAGACTCGTCCATCAGACTGACAGATAGAGAAGCTGATTCATCACTCCAGAGAACATGTTTCCACTGATCCAGAGTCCAATGGCGGCGCTTTACTCCACTCCAGCCGACGCTTGGCATTGCGCTTAGTGATCTTAGGCTTGTGTGCAGCTGCTCAGCGATGGAAACCCTAACATGCAGTTATTTTGCTGATGTTGCTTCCAGAGGCAGTTTGGAACTCTTTAGTGATTCAACAGAGGACAGACACTGTGCTCCTCAGCACTCAGCGACCCACTCTGTGAGTTCGAGTGGTCTGTCTCTTCGTGGCTGAGCTGTTGTTACTCCTAGACGCCTCCATTTCACAACAATAGCACTTACAGTTGACAGATGTAGCAGGACAGAAATCTCACAAACTGACTTGTGCATCTTAAAGTCACTGAGATCTTCAGTACAACCCTCTACTGTCAGTGTTTGTCTATGGAGGCTGCAAAGCTGTGTGCTTGATTTGGTGATTAGCTGAAACACCTGAACTCATTTGATTACATTTATTTATTTATATTATATATATATATATATATATATATATGTGTGTGTGTGTGTGTGTGTGTGTGTGTGTGTATTGCTTTTGCTCAGTTGCTTAGACTTACGTTCATTTGCTGGTTTGTGTTAAGTGCAGATATTGATCTATATGCAGACAGATATCCCACACTTAGACTGATTCAATCTGCCAGCTGCTTTATATAGAACTGACACACATAAACAGACCAAATAAGCTTCCTACCTCACTCTTCAGATACGCGCTGCCTGGGTTTATTTCTAAATATAATCTCTTTAATGTCTTTGATCATTAGTTTGTGAATCTCTGGCTGCAGATTTGATTCTTTAGGAAAAGATAAATTCTCACATTTTGTCGTAATTCTATTAGATTTGGAGGAACTGGAGGAATGACTTCTGAAATGTATACAATAATAGCAAATACAGCAGGGTTTTTCTTTTGTGTGTGAATAGCTGGTGGATTTGAATTTTTTTTATAACACTCAGAAACTGAATTACAGCTGGACTACATTGAGTTTAATGCATTTTTAGAGCTCTGTTTGTGTTTTAAATCCCTGCTCTTCATGTGTTTTTCAGTTTCTGTGCCTGAAGAACATCAGGACGTTCCTGTCGTCCTGCTGCGAGGCGTTCGGCATGAAGAAGAACGAGCTGTTCGACGCCTTCGACCTCTTTGACGTTCGCGACTTTGGGAAGGTAATCAGAAACAGTTGGAGTGGAATTCTGGTTAACTACTATTACACTATGACTATTACAGTACTGATCCAAAGTATTTTTTAATTTATTTACATTTTAAAATAAAAACAATAAGTTATTTTAACAATTAAACCTTCTTGAGCCTCAATTTAGCAATATTGGTTTTTGAATCAATTATGTAGAATTCCAGGCACCACAGAAGAGCTCTTCCCCAGGTCATATTTTGGGGTAAAAAACATTTTTTTTTCTGCTATTTTAACTACAATAATCTATACATGACTATGGAATAAATGACCGACTTTGTTCTGAGGTAATTGTGATTGGATTAAATTCTATATTTTAGTGGATATTCCATGATTGACAACATGTGGTTTGATGCTCTGTAGCAGCCATTTAGTAAAATGCATTGTTTATTAAAAATGTCTCTGGTGTTCCTTTATTATGTGTAACACCAATGAGGATCAGTAACACCAGTGACCCCTATGGAGAGATAGAAAAGTGGACGTTTCTGTAGAATGACCCATTTAATATAAAAAGTGTGTCCACTCTTTCCCTTTATTCCAGCCTCCATTCCTTTCAGGACTGATCTTGTATCAGATTCCTCTGTGTTTATGATGTACTGATTCTAGATCGGCACTCCGGCTCCTGAGGTGGTTTGTGAAAACAGACCATTTGTCTTAAATGGCTGCCCCAAACTACGTCGCCAATTCTGTATCTCCTTACACTGCAACAAATGGTGTCTTGTCAAGTAAAATTATCTTAGAAATGGTCGATAAATCTAATCTTCCTCCTGTTGAGATTGCTGTAAGCTTAATTTTAGATTATTTACCTTATTTCTAGACATTTTTACTTGTTTTAAGTGATTTATTAAGTAAAATTATCTCACTATACTGGCAGACAATTCAGCTTGTTGTATGAAATGTGCTTGAAACCAGCAAAATTATCTGCCAGTATAGTGAGATAATTTTACTCAATAAAATTACTATAAATAAAACAAGTAAAAATGTCTAGAAATAAGGTAAATAATCTTATAAGTGCACAACCATCTCAAAATGGGAAATATTAGATATATTGACTAGATTTAAAATCATTTCACTTGACAAGATGCTATTTTTTGCAGTGTAATAAAGAGCTGGATGTGGTTTTGGTGGGTGGAGAGAAGTTTTGGTGATGTATTTTTACAAAAATGATTTGGGCTATTTGGGTGACTATTGAGTTCTGGTGTTTGTTAGCAGTGTTAGCCTCCTACCACTGGTAGCTGGTTGTACCTGTGATTTATTTAAGTAGAAAAGAAAGTGAACATGTTTTATACTCTGTAGTGACCTAGCATGGCCTGCTAATAAGCTCCATGCTGAGAGTGAATGTGGGTCAGTTGTTCAGCCTGAGGGCTGGGGGGCCGGTCAGATATGGCGCTAATGCCCGCAGTCTTTTACAGTTCACCACTGAAGCAGTCATATTCTACAATAGACACATCAAAATATGCTTCAGTGGTCTGTTTGGTTCCAAAGTCAGGGCGGGATCTAACGGAACGTGTTGAGCTGCGTAAGCCTCGTTAGACTTTTACAAAATTAAATTAAATCTTGGTTTCTTTTTTATTTCAACTTTGTGAACGTAACATTATCACTCTTAAAAAATGGTCATTTAAGGGTTCTTTAGTAAACAAAATGGTTCTATATAGAGCCATGAACACTCAAAGAACCCTTTGCATGATAAAACGCACGAGTTCATCGCACATGAAATGGTTCTTCAAATTGATGGAGAAGCATAGACGAGTGTAGATGTTCTACAGTGTCGATGTGGCTGTTTAGAGTGAGCGTAGATGTTCTACAGTGTCGGTGTGGCTGTTTAGAGTGAGTGTAGATGTTCTACAGCGTCGGTGTGGCTGTTTTGAGTGAGTGTAGATGTTCTACAGTGTCGGTGTGGCTGTTTAGAGTGAGTGTAGATGTTCTACAGTGTCGGTGTGGTTGTTTAGAGTGAGTGTAGATGTTCTACAGTGTCGGTGTGGCTGTTTAGAGTGAGCGTAGATGTTCTACAGCGTCGGTGTGGCTGTTTAGAGTGAGCGTAGATGTTCTACAGTGTCGGTGTGGCTGTTTAGAGTGAGTGTAGATGTTCTACAGTGTCGGTGTGGCTGTTTAGAGTGAGTGTAGATGTTCTACAGTGTCGGTGTGGCTGTTTAGAGTGAGTGTAGATGTTCTACAGTGTCGGTGTGGCTGTTTAGAGTGAGTGTAGATGTTTTACAGTGTCGGTGTGGCTGTTTAGAGTGAGCGTAGATGTTCTACAGCGTCTGTGTGGCTGTTTAGAGTGAGTGTAGATGTTCTACAGCGTCGGTGTGGCTGTTTAGAGTGAGCGTAGATGTTCTACAGCGTCGGTGTGGCTGTTTAGAGTGAGTGTAGATGTTCTACAGTGTCGGTGTGGCTGTTTAGAGTGAGTGTAGATGTTCTACAGCGTCGGTGTGGCTGTTTAGAGTGAGTGTAGATGTTCTACAGCGTCGGTGTGGCTGTTTAGAGTGAGTGTAGATGTTCTACAGCGTCGGTGTGGCTGTTTAGAGTGAGCGTAGATGTTCTACAGTGTCGGTGTGGTTGTTTAGAGTGAATGTAGATGTTCTACAGTGTCTGTGTGGCTGTTTAGAGTGAGTGTAGATGTTCTACAGTGTTGGTGTGGTTGTTTAGAGTGAGTGTAGATGTTCTACAGTGTCGGTGTGGCTGTTTAGAGTGAGTGTAGATGTTCTACAGTGTCTGTGTGGCTGTTTAGAGTGAGTGTAGATGTTCTACAGTGTTGGTGTGGTTGTTTAGAGTGAATGTAGATGTTCTACAGCGTCGGTGTGGCTGTTTAGAGTGAATGTAGATGTTCTACAGTGTCGGTGTGGTTGTTTAGAGTGAGTGTAGATGTTCTACAGTGTTGGTGTGGTTGTTTAGAGTGAGTGTAGATGTTCTACAGTGTCGGTGTGGCTGTGAATAGTGAGTGTAGATGTTCTTCAGTGTTGGTGTGGCTGTGAATAGTGAGTGTAGATGTTCTTCAGTGTTGGTGTGGTTATTGAGAGTGAGTGTAGATGTTCTATAGTGTCGGTGTGGTTGTTTAGAGTGAGTGTAGATGTTCTACAGTGTCGGTGTGGCTGTGAATAGTGAGTGTAGATGTTCTTCAGTGTTGGTGTGGTTGTTTAGAGTGAGTGTAGATGTTCTACAGTGTCGGTGTGGCTGTTTAGAGTGAGCGTAGATGTTCTACAGCGTCGGTGTGGTTGTTTAGAGTGAGCGTAGATGTTCTACAGTGTCGGTGTGGCTGTTTAGAGTGAGTGTAGATGTTCTACAGTGTCGGTGTGGCTGTTTAGAGTGAGCGTAGATGTTCTACAGCGTCGGTGTGGCTGTTTAGAGTGAGCGTAGATGTTTTACAGAGTCGGTGTGGCTGTTTAGAGTGAGTGTAGATGTTTTACAGTGTCGGTGTGGCTGTTTAGAGTGAGCGTAGATGTTCTACAGCGTCGGTGTGGCTGTTTAGAGTGAGTGTAGATGTTCTACAGCGTCGGTGTGGCTGTTTAGAGTGAGCGTAGATGTTCTACAGCGTCGGTGTGGCTGTTTAGAGTGAGTGTAGATGTTCTACAGCGTCGGTGTGGCTGTTTGGAGTGAGCGTAGATGTTCTACAGTGTCGGTGTGGTTGTTTAGAGTGAATGTAGATGTTCTACAGTGTCTGTGTGGCTGTTTAGAGTGAGCGTAGATGTTCTACAGTGTTGGTGTGGTTGTTTAGAGTGAATGTAGATGTTCTACAGTGTCTGTGTGGCTGTTTAGAGTGAGTGTAGATGTTCTACAGTGTCGGTGTGGCTGTTTAGAGTGAGTGTAGATGTTCTACAGTGTTGGTGTGGTTGTTTAGAGTGAGTGTAGATGTTCTACAGTGTTGGTGTGGTTGTTTAGAGTGAGTGTAGATGTTCTACAGCGTCGGTGTGGCTGTTTAGAGTGAATGTAGATGTTCTACAGTGTCGGTGTGGTTGTTTAGAGTGAGTGTAGATGTTCTACAGCGTCGGTGTGGCTGTTTAGAGTGAGTGTAGATGTTCTACAGTGTCGGTGTGGCTGTGAATAGTGAGTGTAGATGTTCTTCAGTGTTGGTGCGGCTGTGAATAGTGAGTGTAGATGTTCTTCAGTGTTGGTGTGGTTATTGAGAGTGAGTGTAGATGTTCTATAGTGTCGGTGTGGTTGTTGAGAGTGAGTGTAGATGTTCTACAGTATCGGTGTGGTTGTTTAGAGTGAGCGTAGATGTTCTACAGTGTCGGTGTGGCTGTGAATAGTGAGTGTAGATGTTCTACAGTGTTGGTGTGGTTATTGAGAGTGAGTGTAGATGTTCTATAGTGTCGGTGTGGTTGTTTAGAGTGAGTGTAGATGTTCTTCAGTGTTGGTGTGGTTATTGAGAGTGAGTGTAGATGTTCTATAGTGTCGGTGTGGTTGTTTAGAGTGAGTGTAGATGTTCTACAGTGTCTGTGTGGTTGTTTAGAGTGAGCGTAGATGTTCTACAGTGTCTGTGTGGTTGTTTAGAGTGAGCGTAGATGTTCTACAGTGTTGTGTGGTTGTTTAGAGTGAGTGTAGATGTTCTACAGTGTCGGTGTGGCTGTTTAGAGTGAGTGTAGATGTTCTACAGTGTCTGTGTGGTTCTTTAGAGTGAGTGTAGATGTTCTACAGTGTTGGTGTGGTTGTTTAGAGTGAGCGTAGATGTTCTACAGTGTCTGTGTGGTTCTTTAGAGTGAGTGTAGATGTTCTACAGTGTTGGTGTGGTTGTTTAGAGTGAGCGTAGATGTTCTACAGTGTTGTGTGGTTGTTTAGAGTGAGTGTAGATGTTCTACAGTGTCGGTGTGGCTGTTTAGAGTGAGTGTAGATGTTCTACAGCGTCGGTGTGGCTGTGAATAGTGAGTGTATATGTTCTTCAGTGTTGGTGTGGTTGTTTATAGTGAGCGTAGATGTTTTACAGTGTCGGTGTGGCTGTTTAGAGTGAGTGTAGATGATCTACAGTGTTGTGTGGTTGTT